CCGCCAATCAATTCCAATCAAAATAGAATTCCAAGTTAATTGAAGTCCTAATCCAACTTCAAGTCCACAGGCCCATTAATTTTGTTTTTTCTCCAAGTCATCCCATCTTTAGAGTTAATGAAATTTAGTCCTTCAATTTCTATACCGTAGACTTTAATTCCCAAAATTGTAGATTTCCTTCAATATCAGAATTTTTCCTTTCCAATTGCTTCGAATACGTCCATAACTAAAATAAAAGAAAATTAACTAAAGTTAAGTAAAAATTAATAATTTGTTGACATGAAACACAAGTAAAATGACTTAAATAGGTGCACAAAATGTACTCATCATGACACCATCCTCCATGGCCACTACCGCCAGCAACTCATTTTCGTGCGCCGAGTAACGACATTCTGCTTGGTTTAGCTTTTGGCTATCATATGCTACCGGATGTCCTTCTTGCATAAGGACTCCACCAAGTACAAAATCTGAAGTATCGGTATGAACTTCGAATAGTTTAATCATGTCCGGTAAGGCTAACACCAGGGTCGTCCACATAGATTTCTTCAACTTTTCGAAAGCATTTTGGCATTAGGATGACCAGTCACAATCCTTATCCTTCTTTGTCAAATCGGTAAGTGGTAGTGCAATTTCTAAGTACCCTTTCACAAATTTTCAATAGTAATTGCATAACCCGAGAAGTGAACGTACATCGTGGACATTCTTTGGTGGTTGCCAATCTTTGATGGATGTAACCTTCTTCAAATCCATGCGTATTTTGCATTGTTTGATGATGTGACCCAAGAAACTGAATGAGCATTTAAACGGTTTGGCATAGAGTTCATTCTCTCGTAGCCGATTGAAAACCTGCATCACGTGTTGCATATGTTCCTCCAATGTCTCGCTATAGATTACTATGTCGTCCAGGTACACCACCACAAAGTCATCTAAGAACCCGTGAAGTTTCATCTTCGTACAAAATGTTGTTGGAGTGTTTGTTAAACCAAAAGCCATCACTTTGAATTCAAAGGCTCCATGTCTTGTTACCATCGTAGTCTTTGCTTCATCTCCATCTTTGATTCGAACTTGCCAGTATCCGGACCTAAGATCAATCTTTGTATAATATATCGCTCGAATCAGTCGGTCGAAGCAATCCACGACCAGCGAAATATGATAGCTATTCTTCACAGTGATCTTGTTTAAAGCTCGATAGTCGCAACACATTCTAAGATAACCATCGATCTTTTTCTGAAACAACACGGGAGCTCCATATGGTGATTTCGCAGGCACGATAATCCCACTTTCCAACATTTCTCCCAATTGTTTCCGAAACTCTTCAAGCTCAAGCTAAGACATATGGTAGCGTGTCCTGGTGGGAAGTCTGGCACCTGGAATAAGTTCAATCACATGATCAATCGCCCTCATTCGTGGCAATTTCTTTGTTAACTCATCCGGTGTGATGTCCTCAAATTCCTTAATAAGCCTTTTAACAGTTTTTGGAATAAGGCCAGTCACCTCTTCGATCTCGTCTAATTGAAGAGTGCACAAAAATGAGGGTTCATTTCTTTTGAAATTCTTACCAAATTGCATGGTCGGGAGACTCTTATCGCCCATCTTCCCAGCTTGTGTAGTGATGCCGTACGGTTTAGTACCTATCATCATTAATGAATCGAAATATGGCAACACTGATGTCTTAGTATCTTGAAGAAATTTCAATCCCAGAATAAGCTTGAAGTCATCCATCTGAACTACAGATAAGTTTGTCCTTTCCTTGAAAGGACCCACTTTGAGCAACACAGATTTCACTACAACTATTGGTTGAGCAGCAGAATTGATTGCTTTGACCTTTCCAATACCTTTTTCCAAAATAAGTGAGTCGCTCCATTTCGGTCTTGCAAGGTAGTTGTGGGTAGCACCAGTATCTACTATAGTCCTGATTGGCTTTCCATTGATTTCAAGATAATATCATCATTTTCAGTAGATCAATGCTATAGTGTATTACACCGATGTGAGAATATGTCAACTATATCCTCATCCTCTTCAGAGTCCATCTCACCATGACAACTAGCTTGTGGGACATCTTGCTTTGAACTCATTCTGCCACTCGCTAGTTGACAATATTCCTTCACCATCCATTTCTGAGGGCACTAGACACCCGATGAGGTCCTTCAAATAAAAAGCACATCAATTTAGGAGTGGCATCAGATCTTCCCTCCGTTGTTTTTCCTTTATTCCAGTTGTTACTGTTGCTACCGTTATAGTTTCATTGACTCATGTTTTGATCATTTCCTTGAAAGTTGCTTTGACAGGTGCCTTGTTAGGCTCATCCCTTATTATTAGAGTAACGCTCCCTCATTTAAGTTCAAGATGGGTCTGTAAGGTCTGCTTCCACCTTCAATAGCTTGACTATTCCTTGAAGGTCGATCTTTTCTCGATTCTGGTTGATAGTCACTTAAACATTCAGCGGCCATGGCCACGCTCAAATCAGTGACCTTGTGTCTCTGAAGTCCCATGCATGTCCACGGTTTCAATCCGTACATGAAGGTGAATAGCTTATCCTTTTCCGACATATCTCGAATATTCAGCATATGTCCTGAAAAGGATTTCACGTACTCCCTAATGGAGCTTATATGTTTCATTTCTCGTTGTGCCCGTTGTGCATGATATTCCACATTTTCTGGGAAAAACTGCGATCCGATCGCTTCCTTGAAGAGATCCCAACCCTGTTGGCCTGTATATCCGCCACCATAGTTTTGAATCTCCACCAAAATACATGGTATCTGTTGTAACTTTTCTTACTTCGTTTTCGATCGAAGCCACAAGAAAGTATTGTTCCATATCAAATAAGAAGTTCTTTGACTTCTTTCGCAATGCGTGCCCCTCCGTAAGTACACGGTTCCGAAACTCTAAGCCTAGGAACAAACTCTTGTGCGAGGACTTGCCCATTACCAACCTCACGTTGAAGTACTGTAATTGAGCTCAACACTTCCATTTCATCTTGCAGATCAAGCATGATTGCAATAGTTTCAGTCATTGATATGCAAGCTTTTCGACTTTTATCCAGTTGGATGTATAATTCGTGAATTTCCATCTCTGCCACCTCGACTTTTTCCTCAAGGCCCTCCACGACATAGCACAACGTAGTTGTCTCATCAAGCGCATCCATGCGCTATTACATGCTCCTCTTTTGAAGATCTGCAACTTCTGTATTGTTTGATGTAATTGGATCCATAGCTTTCTTATCGAGGGTCGTGAGCCACAGCTTTGATACTAGCTTTGACGAGGTGTTTTTTTCTTGGCACAGAAAGGGACACTGTGCGACAGTAGTCTACTCCACTAGACTACCTTCCACATTTTCTCGATCGTTTCAAAACGAAAGAAAATTTAATTACCATTTGTAGAAAGCTTGCAACAGAGAATTTAGATGCATTGAAAGTAAATTGATCATTAATTGATGAAAGCGAAAATTACAATTGATAAAAGCAGAAAACTACAATGGCTGATGTAGGGGTCGAACACCAGTAAGCTTGAAAGATTTTTGAATGACTAATAACCCCCTATAATAGCTTGCGGAAGAAAAACTTAAGTGATATGAGTAGACGTTTAAATGACGAGGAATCATATTTAACGTTTACAAATATCAGAGTTATTTTACAATTGAAATAAACTATTACAATGGAAAGTAAATTACAACTCAAACTGAACTAATATTTACAATGTGCGGTCGAAGTTGGGCAAATTGCAGTTGCGATTGGGTCAAGGGGCTAGGTAAAGCTGCGGTCCTTAACACATGGACTTGAGTCGCAGGAGCTGCACTTAAATTCGGCTAGGTAAAGCTGCGGTCCTCAACACATGGACTTGAGTCGCAGGAGCTGCACTTAAATTCGTCCTGCGCGTCCATGGCTGAAATAATATTCCAAATTTAGTGATGCACAAAAACATTTCTCTCGACAAGGTTTTCCCCTCTATTTTCTTTGTACGAGACTCAAAAGAAAATCTGTAAAAATGTGCTCATATTCTGGCATTTTACCATATCCTGCAAATTTTACTAAGCAGGTAAGAAGTTGGATTTGCAATTCAAATATCAATTGCAATCCCTCACTGTCTCTATCATAAGTGATGATTAGAAATACAAAGTGGACCGTGGCATACCAGGAAAATAGTTGATGTCTATGACATAATAACGGTCTAGAGTTCCATGCTCTCGAATTATATCGAGGTTGAACAGCCGAAGGCCCTGTCGAATAGAATAAATCAAGAAATGTAAATAATGATCGATCATGTGACGAAGAAAACCAATTACATGCAAAAATAACCAGTTTTCTTCCATAATGCAGTTGAAGAATCAGAAAGGGAAATAAGAATACCAGTCGTCGACGTAGTTCCTTCGCCAGTTTCTCAAGTAATGGTCGCGGAGGGAGTTCTGCAGGGAAGAAGGTACTAAAACATAAGTTCTGCTCTGGCATACGTTACCATGGTCAGAAATAGATCGCTAAACATGGTGCATGCACAAATCACTAGCTTGGCCGAATAACAGAAGGTCAAAACAGATATAGTCACATTAAAGAGGTCCATGAGAGAAATATAAACATATTCCAGCACACTACATTACAAGCCTATCAGTTAATTCATATAACAGATATTGCATAGAATAATGTGTGTGCTCCAATGGTATAAGCTCACCACCGACACATGGATCTAAGTCTGCTTCATCGGCTGAAGCAGCAGCACAAGATACTCTGGGAAAGCGGTATATACCAGCATTCTTAGAGAGTTCACGCTTACTAACATCAGGTAAGGAGAAACGCCTGACCACCTTAATTGCTTCCCCAACAATATAAACCTTGAACAGTACACCTCCTACAGACACAAGAAGAAAATATTAAAGAAAGCGATGATACATTCAGCAGACAACGGAAGAGATGCTTAACACGCCAATGACAACCTCGTACCATGATTTATAAATTCCTGCAAGACAAGTGGAGGTTCCAAATTCTGAAGGGAGATTTCATCATATGCTAGAGATAACTCATGCGACTCTGCAAACAAGGGCTTTGCCACTGTAATCACAAAATTAAGAAATATTTAAAGTGAGAGGCAAACAACAATTAAATTTCCTCAACTAAGTGTGACAATCAATACAAGTTGTAAATCATCATATTTGTCCAAATAATACAGAGCTTCCCACACATCATAATAATTGCACAATTAAATGCTCATAACACTTGCACGACGTGGTGCTCTCTTTGAAATTAGTGATTAAACTGATAGACGTAAACATATGATGACGGCATACCAATGGGTAACCTCAGCCCAGCCTTGTTGACTGCGTCAGGTATTGATGATGGTTCTTTCTTGAATATCAATTGTTTTGGGACACCGACTTTTCCTACACCAGATGAACACAAAGCTATCAGATTTTGTAGAATTATTGTAGAAACACAACTTCAGGTAAAACTTTTGTAAATTATTTCTAGTCCAGTAGCAAGAATGTAAATAAGAACCAAGCATACTTCAAACACCTGCACCCATCTACCCAAGAAAAAAGAGGCTGAGAGAATGAAAGCATCAGGAAACAAAAAAGTCAGTCATTCATCCTAATCTAGATCAAGAATTACCGTAGGCATTTGACAGGTTCAGGTCAGCAACATCCTGAAGCATAGACTGGCGATTATGCACGTGCTGTATGGCATCTGGAGGATCAAGAACTGTGACTTCAGGATGGTTTTTCCTATAATCCTTCAAAAAGGAGGTAAATAAATGGTAAATGATGACTTCTGGGAAGATTATATTCAAGTTTGTATATCGACAAAATGAACAAGCACGACACGTTGGGTCAGAAGCTCCAGATTCTCAACCAGGGGAATTAAATTATGAAACATAGATTAGGAATCTTAGTCACATGCCATCTCTAATATGATATGAAATTTAATTGTGAAACGTCAAGCTTTATGGATGACAAACTGCATCCTCCACCTTGAGACCAACCACCATTGCAATATTCACAGCTTCCAAAGCCAAAGAAAACAAAACTAAAAAAAATGAATTTAAGCAATTCACATGAGAACATAATCAAATTACAGGAGAACAGCAGCCAAGGACAAATTAAAAGACACACTACATTCTCTCCCAGGAAATGGTTTATTATTGCAAATAATAAATAGCTGAAAAAATCCAGACCTTCCAAAGCAAATAATAAATTCTAATAGTTTATTGAATAACTATCCATAAATATCTATCATTCTAACTGAAAATATAGCACACTCGAGGTTCAACAATTAATAGCATAAAAGGACAAGTGAATAAATATCCAAATAATACGATATAGAAAGCACTTTGAAGGAAAATACCAGAGAGGAAAAAAAAAATGAATTAGGTTAGCCCTCTCCTGTTAAGCTGTTATAAGGGTTGATAGTGAGCCCTGGAAAAAGGAAGCCTAATCGTTTGTTGATATGCTAAAAAATCTGCAAACCAGGTAACCACCCACTTGAAAGAGAACATCCTGGTCGCTGAAAATCGAGGCTTTGACCTCAGTTATCAAGTCATGATTCATGACAGAGGACAGAACAAAGCATTCTGCAAGTTATGTGTGATGGGGAGAAGTTTCAAGCAAAGAGACTGCTGGTTGCCCATAAGTCATTGACATTCCATGCCCATTTCACATCATCAAATCATATTGTGCATAGCCTAAGCAGTCAAATTTGAGCTTTCTTAATCATATCTATACTTTGATAAAATTGTAGTGTGTTTAGAATGACCAACCTCAAGTACGCGTCGCCATTCCTTTCCTGATAACTGCAATAAGAGGTGAAATCTGTTAGACGTATATACATTTCATTTATTGAACATGGATGAAGTAGTCGAAAAGTATAATCAAATAGCATCCTCCTAAAAGTGGATAAACAAACGAATTAAGCCGGGTAAGCTAGCAAAGCACACACCTTATGCAACACGATATCAAAGGGTCCTTGATCTGAAAGGGGTTTATTTGGGTCAATAGCAACGAACAGAATTCCCTTATTCCTGCATTTTGCGCACACACAGAACATGAACTTTGACAAACTTCAGTTGTGTAGGGAAATACACCAGTAGATACAACAAATAGGAACAAAAAAAAAATCATCCTCCATTCGTAAAAAGCCTTAACCAAATTCACAAAACAAATGCAATCTCAAAAATAAAAATAAACAAATAAATAAATAATAATTTCTTAATTAAAAGTAATATTAACTAAAATTTTAATCAATTATCGCAAACCTTGAAAATGCGATAAATAAAAAAAAAATCAAAAATTGCATCATTTCTGACGGGCAAACACGGAAACACCATGGCACTCATTTTCCTCAGCAATTAGAAAAAGAGGGAAAACATATTGAAAGATTTACCTAGCCAAACCTTCAAGCTTGGGTTGCAAAAAGCTTTTAGTTTTCTTAGATGTAAGAGCATATCCCACCACGACGACATTCGTCGTCGGAGGAAACCCTCCTCCAACCACCGCCGTATATTTCCTCCGTACTACCATTTTCTCCCCCTCCTCCTCCTCCTCCTCGTTTCTCACCTTTTCCTCTTCTACTTCATTATACGTTACCTCACCACCCATTCTCATTCACAAACCCTATTATAACGTATATATTGCACACGCTCCCCTGTATCAGCCAAACCAAGATTTAATCAATTGTATCTAGTTTGATTTAAAATTACTCAAAATTACAAATAAACTGTGGAATTTTACAAATTTGAGTTTGTTGCGAGCTAGGATCTCTAAACAACCAAAATGCTAGGAGTGGACGGAGGCAGGAGCTTATATATAGTGGGAATCCAGTATGTGCCGCCTCACTATTGTACGCGCTAGATGACGTGGAAACCAATTTATTCTTTTTTTTTTTTTGAGGTAAAAACAAAAAACTTCGAACGTGAATGTCTAAAATCTCGAAGTCCGTGATTTGAATGTCTCGAGATGGTTTTATTTACCCTTCGTTTGATTCTCATTAAGGATGTATTTGAGCCACATTATTTTGAAAAAATATATTTTGGATTAATATATTGATGGAGAATGTGTTGTTGAAAAAGATGGAAAAGTTATTGATGTGATAAAAAATATTATTTTATTGAATAATGTATGGTTGAAAATGAATAGAAAAATGAAAATTTTAGAGTGTGTTTGATGCACATTAAAATGGAAAGGATGCATTTTTTTGTGATGTGATGGTGAATATGTGGTTGAAAAGGAAAGAAAAATTATTAATATGATTAAAAATATTATTTTATTGAAAAATGTGTGATTGAAAATAAGTAGAAGAATGAAAATGAGAATATTGCTCATACAAATGTGGCTCAAACAGATGCTAAATAAAAAAAAATGAATAATATTTCTAGAAAAACATGTAGTTAAAAAGTATGAAAAATTTTAAATTCACGTGTAAAATATTTTATTGTTTAAATGTTTGGTTGAAAATGATCTTATAGTAAAAACTAAAATAAAATAAAGAGAGTCAAACAATGGTTTAAATAAGTAATTTCACAACATACTTAAATATGACAAAATACTTAGCTAGAGTAATATTAAAATTTAGATTTTAATCTAATTCAAACTCAACAATTAATTTTAATTACATATTTTAAAAGATTCACGACTTTTTAACCATACATATCATCATTTTTATTAAAATTTACTAAAAATCTGATTTTAATCCACATCAAATAAGCTCTTATTCAATTATAGATTCGTTGTCCAGTAAAATTTTAGCTCATATTTGGTAGAGATAAAAATCAGATTTTTAGTAAATTTAAAAAATAAAAATTTGATATATGTATGGTTAAAAAGTCATGATTCCCAAAAAATATGTAATTAAAATTAATTGTTGACTTTGATTTAAATTTTAATCAATTTTTTAACAATACCAAACAAGGACTATATGAGTTTTTGAAGCTACCAAAATATAATGAAATGTCAAAAATTTAATGAAAAGATCATTAGATGGATAACCTTAAGGGTCATCAAATTTGAACTTAGGCATCCATCTTGAAATATGTTTGGCACATATCATTAAGAAAAAAAAAATTATGTAATATAATGTATTGATTAACATATTAAGCCCCTCTTTGATTTAGATAAAAAAAAAATAATAATAATTTTTTAATAGATTTTGACTTATATTTTAATTCAATTTTCTAGCTAAACAAAATAGGGACTAGAATATCTCCACAAAACTCTCTAATTTTAAATAATAAACTCTACAATATAAAGAGTATATATAAATTTAAATAGTAAAACTTTTTAAGTATTTCAATAGACTCTTTATATTTAGCCCTTGTTTGGCACATATTATTTCGAAAATACATTTTTTTCTTCCTTATTTTCAACCAAACATTTTTAAATAAAATAATACTACACACTAATCTAAATTGTTTCCAATTATTTTTTAACTACACATTCTCCATCAAATCACTATTTAAAAATACATTAAAAAGAAATGGTACTCAAACACAGCCTTAATACATGATTTTACTACTATAAAAAAATGTATGTTCGTCATTTCACAATTTTTAATTGAGAAAACATATAAAAATGACATTATGTCCAATGAAATGTGAAAATAAGGGTGAAAATGTTAAAAAATAAAAGATATTGACGTTTTCCACATCACAATGGAAGGTGAAGGCGTTATGTATTAATTACCTGTATCGAGAAAATCAAATTTTGCTCGTTGGGTAAGATATTTAGCCATGCTGTACCATATGATCGTAGGCTATATACAGATCAAGTGACACGGATTGGTACTGCACTTTGGATTTATTAATCAGTCTGAAGTTGATTTGTTGGATGGGACACATCAAGTTGACACTAAGCCCCTTATTTTATAAACATTATTTTCAAAATTTATTTTTTCCTCTCTTCTTTTCATTCACTATCCTTTAAAATTTATTATAAGCAAATTCAAAACTTTTATTATTTTTTAACTACACATTTTCTATTAATTTATTATTTGATACACATTATTCAAAAAAGAATGCATTTTATGAAGTGATGTGATAGAAAATATGTGATTAAAAAATAAGGAAAAATTTTGGATTTGCGTATAATATTATTTTATTGAAAAATGTGTGGTTAGAAATGAGTACTGTAGAAAAATGAGAATGAGAATGAGATAAAAAATGGGTGTCAAACAGGGGCTTGATCAACAGGAAAAAGCAGAATTTCTCTGATGAAAAGATTCTCCTTTTTGAATTCTACTTCCTATGACAAAAAATAGAAGAAAGTGGGATT